CGGCTACCACGGCGCCGCTTGCCAGAGCGGCGGCGGGGTGGTGCGCAGGCACGGCCGGCTGGCTCGGCGGCTCGGCGGCCTGCTGCGGCGCTGGAGGCACGAGCTCCCGCTCTACGAGCAGCGGGTCCCGCTCTGTGACAGGCCGAAGTCGGGCCACCCCGGGAAGACAGAGCGCGCCGTGCTCGACCTCGAGTTCCAGGACGACGACGGGCGTCGCTGGCTCGACGTGTCCGTGCGGCACCCCGCCGCGGGCACCGAGGCGGAGCAGCGGGTCGCGGCCCGTCGCGACGGCGAGGCGAGCCGGCGCGGAGAGCGAGACAAGCACGCTCGTTACCCGGGGGAGCGCCTCACCCCGATCATCCTCGAGGCGGGGGGGCGGCTCGGGGCCGAGGCGCGCCTCTGGCTGAAGGCAGAGGTGCGACGCCTGCCTGACGCCGAGCAGGCCCGCGAGCTCGCCCGCGCGCACCACGTGCTCTCCTGCGGCCTGCAGGGCGAGCTGGCGCGGCAGCTGCGCGCGGCCGCTGGCTTGCGCTGAGCCGACCGAGGGCGGCGCGCTGGCGCCTGACCACCTGGGGCAGCTGCGGCGGCGGCGGCGGCGGCGGCGGCGCGCCCGCGCCGGCGCCGGGGCGCTGGCGGCGACTGCGGCGCCGGGGGCGCCTGAGGCTCCCGCGGCGACGGCGGCTGCGGCCGCCGCGCGGCGGCGCGGCGCGGCGCGACGGGGCGGCGGCGGCGCGGCGCGGCGCGGACGGCGGCGGCGCTGCTCGGCTGGCTGCGCCGGAGTCTGCCGCGCCAGGCGCCACCGCGAGCCCGGCGCTGCGCCGCTGCCGCGAGCTGGCGCGGAGCCAGGCGCGGCGGGCCGGCGCCTCGGGCGCCTGGCGCCCCGGCGGCGGCGGCGGCGCGCTGCTTTGCGGGCGGCCACCTGCTGCGCTGGCCGGCGGCTGGAGGGCGGCGCAGGGCGGGTGCCGCCGGGGCGTCGGCTTGGGTGCGGGCAATTCCCGCCCCTTGGGAGAAGTCCTGCTGGGATTTCTCCCGGGGTGGGGCGCCAGCAGCAGGCTGCGCCTGTGTGCTGGCGCGGGTTTGCCTGTGAATGCTCCTCCCCGAACAGACTTGGTGCGCAGTGTCTGTGTGTCTGTCTGTCTGTCTGTCTGTCTGTCTGTCTGTCTGTCTGTCCGTCTGTCCGTCTGTCTGTCTGTCTGTCTGTCTGTCTGTCTGCGTGCGTGCGTGCGTGCGTGCGTGCGTGCGTGCGTGCGTGTGTGTGTGCGTGTGTGTGTGTGTGTGTGTGTGTGTGTGTGTGTGTGTGTGTGTGTGTGCGTGTGCGTGTGGCGTGTGCGTGTGCGTGTGCGTGTGCGTGTGCGTGTGCGTGTGCGTGTGCGTGTGCGTGTGCGTGTGCGTGTGCGTGTGCGTGTGCGTGTGCGTGTGCGTGCGTGCGTGCGTACGTGCGTGTGTCTGCCCGCCTAACTCTGACGCGGCGCCCCTCATGCTGCCCTGCCCTCCGAGCTTTCGGAGAAGGCCCGCCCCTTCTCATTTCCCCCCTGGGAACTCGCCCCCGAAGTGCCCCGTGAGGCGCCTGCCGTCCCACCTCTTCCTTGCCCCTCGCTTGGCTGCTGGCGCGTGCGCGGCCCTCCGCGCGGCGCGTCTGACGGTGTGGCGAGTCGCCCGCCCGCGACGACCCAAAAGTTCCCGGGCACAGCCAAGACGCTGAAATAAGGACCATTTTGGGCTCAGAGGGGGCTTGAGTTTTCGGGCTGTTCCTTAGATTTGTGTCTTGGGACTTGCTGCTTGCCTAGGCCCGCCGTAGCCAGAAAAGCCCCTCCGTTTCTTGTTAGGCGCTCCTTCTGGTAGCACGATGATTGTAGTTCCTTGGAGAGCTGAGAGGGCTTCGGGTTAGAAGCCGGCCGCACAGGGTGTGCCAGCTCCTCGCCACGGCTCCCAGGCAGACCTCTCCGCAGAAGCCTGCTTGAGCGGGCAGCGTGTTCCGGCAAGCGTGCTCTCACTCGTCCCCAGTACGCGTTCTGGAAGCCTTCTCCGCAGTTCCTTCGAAGATCCTCGAGAGCTCCTGCGAAGCGCCCTCTCCAGAGCTTGCAGGCTCCCCAGAAGCTCCCTTTCCTCAGAGCTTGCAAGCTCCCGTAAGCTCCCCCGGCGTCCTTACCAGCGTCCTTGCAAGCCTCGCCCACAGGCGTTTCGCGCGCTCCGCCGCAGGGACTCGCGGGCCCCAGCCGGAACGATGGGGCCAGCCTAGGGCTCGAGACCGTGGGCTCTTCGAACCTGAGCAGGTCGTAAGACTCACCACCCGCTAAACCACCCCAACCTAACCCGAAGGCTTCATTTTGCCCTCTATTTCCAGTAGGGGGGGTCGGGAAACATTGAAAAAACACACACGGAACCCGTACCCCCCCCAACCCGAAATTCGAGTCAAATTCGGGTTTTCGGGTTGGGTTGGGGTGGTCTGGTAGCGTCAAAACCTGCTCCGGCCTGGGCAGGTCGTATTGCTGGACAGCTCCCCAGAGAGAGCTGAGAGGGCTGCAGTTCAGAAGCCGGCAGGCAGGGCTACGCCGGCCGTTCTCCACGGCTCCCGCGCAGGCAGCTTCGCAGAAGCCTGCTGGAGCCAGCAGCGTGTTCCGGCAAGCGCTTTCTTACTCGTTCCAAATCCGCGTGCTTCAACGGGCGAAGATCGGTATCGAATCAATTGTTTCGTTGTCGGGGGCGCCTGTCCCAGGATGTCCCAGGGCGGCTGGAAAGTTTATACCTTTACGGTGGCACGTCAAGGTATACATTTTCCAGCCGCCCTGGGGCAGCGCCCCTGGCGACGGAGCAATTTATTTTGTACTGTTCTTCGCCCGTCAAGTGCTGGAAGCCTTTTCCGCAGCTCCTTCGAAGCTCCTTGAGAACTCTTGTGAAGCTTTTCCAGAGCTTGCAAGCTCCTTAGAAGCTCCCTTTCTCGAGCTTGCAAGCTCCCTGCGTCCTTGCAAACTTCTCCCAGAGGCGTTTCACGCGCTGTGGACTGCATCGCTATCTGGGTTTTGGACGCCACAAGTGTGTATGTGTGTGTGTGTGTGTGTGTTTGTGTTCGCGTGTGTTCGTGTGTGTTCGAGGCGCATGCGAAGCGGGAAGGGGAGAGGGGTGCAGGTTGTCAGTTCCATGAATCAACGTATCTTGGTCCAGCCTTGCCTGGCTCAACCTCTTACGCTGGCTCCTTTCTAACCTGCCGACCCTCCCGCTCGTCCTCCTTCCTCGCATGCGTCGGTGAAGATTCAAACGGCGGCGCCCCCTGTGTAGCAGACTTGTCTAGATGAGGAGGACAGAGAAGGATGAAGGCTGGCGGGTTGTGAGTGCACCTTTTTGGGCGCTATCGCGGACTACCCCGTACATCTGCATCCCACAGATCAGCAGGTCCAGCACCCAGCAGGTGGTGGTACCTCTGTATGGGATTTGTGTTGTCGCCTGCGCGCTGGTCACCTTCCCCCGCTTGGAACGGCACGCTTGCCTCAGCGCCGGCCGCGTCGCTCACTGGGTATGGTGCTGCCGCCCGAGTGCCAGCCGCATCTGTGGTTGGGGGCGGGGCTCTCGCCCGAGCTCTGGGCCACGGTGTCATGCCGGGACGCTTGCAGTCTCCACCCTGGAGGGGTTGCCGGGCGATAACCCAGGTTATCGGGCTTGCCCCCCCTCCCCCCCACCCCCCAGGATAACCAAACCTTGCCGGTTGTGCAGGTCCGCGGGAGGGGGGGCGCGCATAGGGCTGCCCACAGCGCGAGGGTTAGGTTATCGGCCGGCCCCCTCCCCCCCCCGGGGGAACCCGGGCTATCGCCGATTCAGAGAGAAACGGTCTCTTTGTGTCGATCATTGCCCCAGAAGCCATACTACAGTCGACCCGCACGGTAAGGATGGGCAAGCTTTCCCAAGGGTGCCCTTGCGTCCTTGCCTCCTCGGTCCATCCTTGGCCACTTTCGCTGGCCGCGCCCCCCTCGGAAAGCTCCGAAAGGGCCTTCCAAGGCCCTTGCATCCTTGTCGCGCATCCTTGCCATACGGGTTCACTGTACACGAGAGCCGGGGGCAGCAGGGTCGCCAGGAAGGGAAGGGGTCCTGAGGGCAACGGGATCTCAGACACCTGGACCTTTGTTCTTCGTCTCCCAGCCGTTTTTTTGTCGGCCATGCGACTGGTGGAGGCCAGGGTCCCGAACACGGCGAAGGACGTCCAGGACCCACTTCCTTTCTGTTGCAGCTTCGGGGGACCTCGCCTGTCCCCGAAATCGGTGTCTTTTGGGGGGCCCGACGCGGGCTTGATGCGGACTCGACGCGGATTTGGCGTGGATTCGACGCGGATTCGTCACGGATTCGACACGGATCCGACGAGTCCGACATGGATTCGACGCGGATAGGGCCGCGACGGGACAGACAAGGTCCCCCAAGGATGCGACATATCCGAGGCGGAAATTTATCCATATCCACCGCCTGGAGGGTCAGTTTTCGGAGCCTCGGCAGGCGGTGGATATGGACATTTTCGGGCCCCCGGGGGGCGAAATGTATCCATATCCACCGCCCGCGTGGCCACCAGGACGTCGGTTCCCAGGCGCTGGATATGGATAAATCCCCGCCTCGCAACATAGTTTCCCCCAGGACCCGCTTCCCCCGTGCCTACGTACAAGTGGCGGCAAGGGGACACAGCATGGGCGTGGCAGGAAGAGCGGGCGAGGGGGGGGCATTGCGGCAAGGGTCGGCTTCGCGCCAGGCGTGCCTCTAGCTGTCTGTGCCACAGGTGTGCGTTCCCGATACATTCCGCCTCATCATCTTCGCTTCCCCCCACCTGCCCCATGCCTCCGTTTCTCCACCTGATGTTCCTCCTTCCCTTCTGCCTCCTCTCCTGCCTCATCCTATATCATCCTCCTCCTGATGCTGTTCCTCCCCCTCTCCCATCCACCCTCTTCCTCCTCCTCCTCCTCCTACTCCTCTTCGTTCTTCTTCACATTATCATCGACCATCTTCCCTATCCCTCCTGCTCCAAGGGCAAGAGCTGCGTCAAGTCAGTGCTCAGCGTCACCAAGCCGCTCCGACTTCTCGAGAGCGCCAACAGCCCTGTTTCGGACGTGCAGAGACAGGTGTCCGCGCAGCGCCACCGACGATGAAAAGGAGGAAGGGACGGTTGAGAGGAGATGGAGGAGGAAGAAGAGAAGCAGGAGGAGGAGGAGGAGGAGGAGGAGGAGGAGGAGGAGGAGGGGGAGGAGGAGGAGGAGGAGGAGGAGGAGGAGGAGGAGGAGGAGGAGGAGGAGGTGGAGGTGGTGGTGGTGGTGTGGAGGAATGATAGGAATAAGAGAACTGGATGGTGAGAGGAGGTGGAGGGAATTGGGGGGGGAAGTGGGGAGGGAGAGGGGGAGGGTAAGAGGAGAACGAGGAGGAGGAAGTGCCGCCGGGCCGCCTCTCGGCCAGTGTGCTTGCCCGGACATCCGACGTCTCGATTTTTTCAAGACACGGGCCCCCGACATCCCGACCGTTTTCCCCGGGACCGGTTTTTCATCCCGAGCCCTTCTTTGACGGTCCCGAGGCCCGGCGAAGGCCCCGAGGGGCTCGACGACGGAACACTTGGCGCCCGACGTCTGGGCGGGCATGCCGCGCGCCCTTTCGCGCGAGAGCCCCCTCACCCAGCGGGCACCGCCGTGTCGCTGGTGGCAGGACGCCTGGTGGGGCCCAGACACGGTCGGTGCGCAGAAAGGCTTCGAGTCGCTCCAGGCCGCAGCGTCCGCGATCGTGGCGGCGAACAGGGACATGTTCGTGACCTCCGGGGACTGCGGCCTCGCTTTCGACCATTGGCGGACCCCGTCCTCGCCGGCCGCGTGCTGTCCACGCCTAGGCCTCCCTTCGAACATTGGCAAAGCGCGTCCGCGAGCTCGTCTGCGCGTCCCACCGCGGGCCTCCGCCCAGGGTCGGGCCGAACGAAAGGGGGGTTAGGGAGAGGGGGGGTTACGAAATCTGCTGCATGCAGCTGGTTTCGGCCCCGCCGCCGGGCCCATTCCTCGATACATGGGCGCCTCCGGCGCTGGGAGGTGCCGGGAAAATCAGCTACGTGAGCTGATTCTCACCCCCCCCTTTGCTATCCTCCCCTTTTCTCCCGGCCCGACAGGGGGGCGGGCTGGACGCCAGGGGCGGGGCGGACGCCCGGGGGCCCGAGGGGGGCGCGCCCTCTGCCGGCAGGCTGGCGCGCTGCCACGGCTGCGTCGGGGGGCGGGGAGCGCTCGGTCTCGAAGCGTGATGGGCTTGCTGTCCACCACCGCCACCGCCACAAGTTGGAGGGGAAGGGGGTCCCACCCTCCTCGTCCTCCTCCTCCTCCTCCTCCTCCTCCTCCTCCGTTTCCTTCTCCTCCTAAGCCTCCTCCTAAGCCTCTTCCTCCTCCTCCTCCTCCTCCTCCTCCTCCTCCTAAGCCTCCTCCTAAGCCTCCTCCTCCTCCTCCTCCTCCTCCTCCTCCTCCTCCTCCTCCTCCTCCTCCTCCTCCTCCACCCCCCTCCCCCTCAAACTCATGGTGGTGGTGGTGGTGGTGGTGGTGGTGGTGGAGAACACTCCCGTCAGAAGCTCTGCAAGAGGCGGCGCTTCTCGGCGTCGCGCCCCGCACCTGCGGCACCAGCACCATGCCGCTCCCTGCCGTGCGCCACGGTCGGTGGCCATGGCCGGGGGCCCCGCGCGCCTGCCAGCCGCACCGGGGGGCCGCGCCGCCGCGTGGCCCATGCAGCGCTCGTGCCGCAGCACCCGTGCTGACGCGGATCGCCCGCCGCGCCTTTGGGCACTCCCGACCTCTGCCGCGTCACGGCGAGGAGGAGGAGGAGGAGGAGGAGGAGGAGGAGGAGGAGGAGGAGGAGGAGGAGGAGGGGAGGAGGGGGAGGGAGGGGAGGAGGGGAGGAGGAGGACGAGGAGGACGAGGAGGAGGAGGAGGAGGAGGAGGAAATGAAGGAGGAAGAGGAGGTGGAGGAGGAGGAGGAGGAGGAGGAGGGGGAGGAGGAGGAGAAGGAAGAAAAAGAGGAGGAAGAGGGAGAGGAGGCGGATGTGGAGGGAGAGGGGCAGGGGCATTGAGTGCTTACATTCAGTCGGGCCTGTCCCTCTACAGTAGGAATGTTCAAAAATAGTCAAAAATAGCCTGGGACGATTTGTTTGCATGTTTGACTATTTGGGGGCGTTGTTTCAATATTTTGTCTTTCGTCCAAAATCCGCCTGTGGGGGGGGGCATGTCCGACCTCGTGCTCGCACCTGCTCCGCTGTGCTCCCCTCCCCCTGTCGCCCTGGTTCGCCACGCCTGCGCCGAGCGGGCGACGCTGGACGAGCACCGCCCGTCGTGCTCCTCGCCGGAGCCCTGGTCGCTGGCCCCTCCCTCGCCCCCACCGTCGGCCACGCGCAGAAGGGGGGGGGTAGGGGGAGCGGGGACGGCCCCTGGGATTGCGGAAGTCGATCAACGGAGAGGAAGCATGTTGCCAAATACTTTTCAGACGTCTAAAGAATGTCTCAACTATGTCTTTAATGTGTTGAACACATGTTTGACACATTTCTAGAACATGTTTTACACATTTTAAACGCATCTCTAACCCAATGATCGGATTGTTAGGGTGTCCATTGTCTTGGCATCCACAACTCTAGGAAGCAGGGGTGCTTCTAAGAAGCCTCCTCCCCTCCCCCTACCCTTAACTCGGGCCTGTCCCTCTACAGGGGGAGTATTCAAAACTAGTCAACCAACAAAAAGAATGGGGACGATTTGTTGAGTATGTTTGAGCATTTTCAGGGTATTGTTTTGACTATTTGAAATCTTCGTCCAACATCCGCCTGTAGGGGGACATGCCCGACCTAACCCTACCCCCCTCTGCGCGTGGCCAGCACATGAGAAAGTGTCCTTCCCTTCCTGAGCCCCCCGCTCAACCCCCGAGAAGCAGGTGACCAAATAGGCACGCACAGCGACGCACATGCTGGCATCACCCCTCTCTGTTCCCAACCCCCATTGCAGAGCGAGACATCGGTGTTGCATCCAACTGCAAACGTTCAGGCCCGCCCTCGCCGGTGCCGCATCATTCCCTCCCCCTCCTTCTCCAGGAGAGGGAAAACATCCACTTACCAGGTCTCCACATGGCCAGATTTGGCCTTGTGGAGGTGGAGGAGGAGGAGGAGGAGGAGGACTTGGCCTGCATCTCTGTGCAGAACGCCCCCCCCGCCCCCTCCCCCGTAGAGCGGCGTCAAGTCGCGTTAAGCGCGTTTGTAACTAGATGTCCTGCAGAGTTCACCCATCCACCATGGAGACCCCAAGGATTCCCGAGAGCCCCTCAGAACCCCATGCTAAGACCGTATCAAACCTCCTCCCCCTCCTCCTCCTCCTCATCATCATCATCACCATCATCATCATCATCATCAGCATTATTGTTACGATCATCATCATAACCATCATCCTGATCCTCATCAGAATCATCATCACCAATAACAACATTATCATCATTCAATGTCCTCCCCTCCCCTTCCTCCTCCTCCTCACCATCATCAGTATCATCATCAGACTCAGCATCATCATCATCGTCATCCTTACCATCAGCAGCAGCATCATCTGCATCATCATCATCATCATCATCGTCGTCGTCGTCGTCGTCGTCAACAACATCATCAACATCACCATCAGAATAGTCAGAGTCAGTATCATAATCATACGCGTCATCATCACCACAACAACCATCATCACCATCACCATCATCATTATTATTGTCGTCATCGTCGTGTCGTCGGCGTGGTCGTCGTCGACTTCTTCCTCTCTGGCCGCCGCCAAGGTGCTGATGGCGCTGCTCCCGATGCTCTGCCTGCCCTACGCGCGGAGACCCTCGCGCGCGCGGGTCCAGCTGCTGCCGTGCGCCTGGGCGCGACGACGACGATGACGACGGAGACAAAGAGACAACGAGACAAGGAGGGAGGGAGGGAGGGACGGGGGAGGAGGTCGAGGACGAGGAGGAGGAGGAGGAGGAGGAGGAAAAGGAAAGGAGGAGGAGGAGGCGGAGGAAGAGGAGGAGGAGGAGGAGGAGGAGGAGGAGGAGGAGGAGGAGGAGGAGGAGGAGGGGGAAGAGGAGGAGGGGGAGGAGGGCAAGCTAGGTGCGCTCGCGTCATATCTGACATCCTACTCCTCCCTCCCATCCCTTACCATGGCGTAGATCCCCTCTCCACTCGCACAGTCGGATGTCGAGCAGGGCAATGATCCCGAAAGGGCACGCGATGCATTGTAGAGCACGGCATGGCATGGCGTAGAAGAGCACCGCAAAGCGTAGTATGTCACAGCATGGCGTGGCGTGGCGTAGTGAAGAATTGCATCACAAAGCTTTGCAACGCAAAGCATGGCATCGCACAGCGGCCCCGAACATAACATTGCATAGCGTGGCGTTGAAGATCAAAGCGTAGCATGGCATAGCACGACGTGGCACTTAAGCACTGCATATCACAGCTTCAGCTGAAGGCATGGCATCGCGCAGCGGAACGCAACCTAGCATTGCATGCCGTGGCATGGCACGGGAAATGACGCCAGCGCTGCAGCGGGAGCACGATTCGGAACGAGCGGAAGCGCGGAAATGAGGCCAGCGCTGTAGCGGGAGCACGATTCGGAACGAGCGGAAGCACGGAAATGAGGCCAGCGCTGCAGCGGGAGCACGATTCGGAATGAGCGGGGCCCGAAAATGAGGCCGGCGCCTCAGCGAGAGCAGCATTTTGAAAACAAATGCAGGCGAAAACCCAACTCCGGGGAATCCCGTGTGTAAAAAAACAGCACGCGGGGGGGAGGGGGTGGGGGGGCGAACATTCCCAACCCGTCATCAGGGGAAGGAGGAGAGTAGTATTCATATTGAGTAATTGTGGAGGAGGAGGAGGAGGAGGAGGAGGACGAGGACGAGGACGAGGACGTGGACGTGGACGTGAACGAGGGAGGAGGAGATCGCAGCACTCCGGCGTCCGCGTGACAGCTCCGGCCCCCGGGTCTGCGAGCGCCCGGCAGGCCGTCCTCGCACTAGCGGGAGGCGCTGCATGTGTATCGGGCCAAACGACAGGGACACGGCTGGTGCCGGCTCTGAGAGTTTTTGGTGACACTCCGTTTCGGATCCACCCATGCAGACGCGACCTCGTCGCGTCGGCTCACCGCGGACCAGTGCCTGCCCAGGATGGGTTCCCAAGTGTCAGTCATGAGTCTGGTCGTGGCGTTGACGTCCGCTAGGATTTCGTTCGTTTCAGTTTGTCTCGGAGCGGCGTCGTCGTCGCTGTCGCTGTCGTTAGCGGGGTCGCTGGGCGCGGCGGCGGAGTCGGTGTCCTGCGTTAGGGATTCTCCATCGCGCCCCTGTCCTCCGTCAGTGCCTGGTGGCGCGCGTGGGGGGGGCCATTGTGGGGCGTACGAAGGTAGGCAGTGTCGGAGTCATCAGCCGCGTTGGCCCCCTGGGTTCTGCGCGTCCACTCTTTGCTCGCGCGCGGCATTTGCGAGCCGCAACGCGGTGGGCTTCGTTGGTGAGCGAGGGGCGTCTAAGCTGAGCAACTGCAGCAGCGATGAGGTTGCCCAGCTGCAGGTGCGTCGGGATTCCGCCCGGTCCCAAATGTGAGAAAGTTCGATGAGATTGGAAGGGCGGGCCCTCGCAGCGAGCACGTCGACTGCCACCCAGGCGCGCTTGACGTCTGCCTGGGGGGCCGGGGGGCCGGCGCCGCGGTCGCCCGCGCGCCGACGGTGGGAAGCAAGTCCTTTCTTGATGGATCCGAATTGCCTGGGCAGCACTTCCAAGTCGGTCGCCGCGCGGCCAGCGGCCCCGCGCCCCGGGCTGACAAGCGGGGCGACGGAGCCGTCCTGGAAGACCGGGGGCAGGCCATGCCTGGTGGCTAGCCTGTTTTGCTTTTGCGGCGCAGTTCCATAGCGGAGCTCGTCGCGGCACTCGCGCGTTGCCATGTTGGCGTGGCCGAAATCAACGGCCGTGTCAGCCGCGTCCACTTCGGTGCGGCATGCTTGCTCGATGCTGTCCCCGAGGGCACGTTGCTCGTTGCTGTCAATTGCAGGGCGGGGCGATTGGGAAAGGCACGGCCGCCCCGGTCAAAAGCGCATGACATCCCGCCGCGCCGCCGCCGCCGCCGCGCTCGACCGCCCCAGCTTGCCGATTTGAGTGAGGAAGGCCAGATCCTGAATGTCGCCTTTGGTGTCCACGCAAATCAAGTTGGGCACATGTCCAACCTTGTTTGCGGCTTCCCAAACCTGGCGGGGCAGCGCCGCGCTGCCCGCCTGACTTGGCGTGGACAGACGCCGCGTGGACGCCTTCGCGTAAGTCTCTTCGGCCTTGTCCACCCCTCTTCCGTTGTGGAAGTTGATTAATGGAGAAGAAGCATAGTGCTAAATAATTCCCAGATGTCTAAAACATGTCTCGAACATGTTTAAAATATGCAAACACATGCCTGAAACATGTTTAGAGCATGTTTTACACATGTTAAGCGCATCTTTAATTCAATGATGGGATTGTTAGAGTGTCCATTGTCATGGCATCCACCCTTCTTCCGACGCTTGGTGCCGCTTGGGGAGGGCATGGGGTAGCAGGCTTCTGTGCGTCGCGCGGTTGCGAGGAGAGCCGGCGCCGCGGGGTCGCCTCTGGCCGCGTCGACGAGGGCGCCCTGCGCGGCGACGCATGCCGCGCCATGCTTGGCCGCAGTTGAGCGGGCCTCGCGGTCAGTTCCGCTTCCGTGACCTCTTCCATGTGACATCGTCTTGTGGAAGTCGGTTAATGGAGAGGAAGCATGGTGCCAAATAATTTCCAGATGTCTAAAACATGTTTCAAATATGTTTTAAATATGTAAGCACATGCTTGAAACATGTTTAGAACATGTTTCACACATTCAAAACACATCTTTAATTCAATGATAGGATTGTTAGAGTGTCCATTGTCACGGCATCCACAAACATAGTCGTCCACGGGGCTTCTCCCCCAGCTGGAGGTGGGCACCAACACCAAGATCGGCGGTGTGCCTCCACCGAGGGGAGGCGATCCCGATCTCGGTGCTCGTGGAACTGCTCTGGCCTCCGAGGTGACCGAAATATTACCACCAACACCGAAGTCTAGGATCGTCTTCCCCATGTGGAGGCAGACCACTGCGCTGGTGTTGGTGCCAATTTCCAGGCCCCCAATTCTGGACCTGGGGCTGGCGCTGTGCCCTGTCCTGCTAACAGTCCAGGAGGCTGAGGCTGGTGCTGCTACAGTGGGCCACCTTGGTCGATCCTGTCGGTGGTGGACCTGGTGGCCGCCCTCGCGTCCGCGCAGCTCACTTGTCGCAGCTCGCCCGTAGAGGCGGAAGGCCCTCTGAGCGTTGCTCGTGCCTGCGAGGGCGGCGAGGAGGGAAGGGGGAGGAGGAGAGGGGAGGAAGGGAGGGAGGGGGGAAGGGAGGAAGGAGGAGAGGGCAGGGGGCGAGAGGGGAGAGGGATGAGAGGAGAGGGGAGGGAGGGGAGGAGAGGGAAGGGGGAGAGGGGAGGAGGGAGGGAGAGAGGTCCTTGGAGAAGGAGATGGAAGGATAGGGAGAAGCAGGTGCAGGTGGTGGAGGAAGAAGAGGGAGGGGACAGGGAGGAGGGAGGGACGGAGGATGGAGGGGATGGCGGGACGGGGAAGGAAGGGAGACTAGAGAGGGGGGTCCAAGAGAGAAGAGGTGACGAGGAAGGGGAAGGGGAGGCGGGGCTAGGGGGCGTGAGGGAGGTGGCTCTGGGGGTTACAAGGGGGATGCCAGGGCGTGCGGGCCAGGGGCGAGGGAAGGACGAGGGCAGGAGGACGATGGAGGCGCGACGGAAGAGATGACACAAAACAAGTAATGATGATGATGATGATGATGATGATGATGATGATGATGATGATGATGATGAGGAGGAGGAGGAGGAGGAGGAGGAAGAGGAGGAGGAGGAGGACGAGGAGGAGGAGGAGGAAGAGGAGGAGGACGAGGAGGAGGAAGAGGAATCTAATATATGATAATACTAGAGAGACGAGAATATACTATAAGACAATGCCATGTAATATGCTGCACTATGAGATATTATAGCACACGATAAGATATGGTGATGCAAGTTACGAACACATAATCTAGTTACTAGAATGCAAGGTAGTACGCGATAATACGATCTACGGCGTTAGTATATACGATAACCTAAACTAAGATAAGATACGAGACAAGCATATATGAGAAGAGCAGACACGAAGGAGTGGGAGAGGGAGAGGGGGAGGGGGAGGGGCAAGGGGGGCACGAGAACGGGGCGGAGGGGGGGCAGCTTAGAAAGCAGCCATCGCGCGCGGCAGCGGTCGCGGCACGTGGGCACGTGCATGACGGACCAGGCCGAGTAAGATTTTTGTGTTCGGGCCACATGTTCTTCCTCCTCTTCCTCCTCCTCCTCCGCCTCCTCCCCCTCCTCCTCCTGCTCCTCCTCCTCCCCCTCCTCCTGCTCCTCCTCCTCCTCCTCCTTTTCCTCCTCCTCCTCCTCCTCCTCAGCCTCCTCCTCCTCCTCCTCCTCCTCCTCCTCCTCCTCCTCCCCCGTAGCTTGGGGACCTGTTCCTGAACTTCCCAACCTCTGCTCGAGTCTGGCAGGCAGCGCTGCCAGCCTTTGCAAACCAACCATTCAGCTTCTCGGGCGGGCCGCAGGCGCCGCCATTTGCCTCGCCCTCTCGTGCAGCCCAGGCGCTGCGGACAGGCCATGGCTCCGTCAAAGAGCTACCGTCAGTGGGTCTGTTGCTCTCGCCAGGGGTGCAAAGGATGGTCCTATGCGGACCGCAACAACAAGTTCTGCTCCCAGTGCGGCGCCACCTTCCCCGAGCCTGGACAATCCAAGTCTGGACCACCGCCTTCGCACCAGTCTGGAGGAGGGAAATCGTTGGGATATCGTCATGGGGCTGAGCATGGCCCAGGCAATCGTTGGTCTCGACTTAAAGAAAGGGGCCAGAATGAGTTCGCCGCCACCGCTCCCCAGAGTCAACCGCAGTTGCAGACGACCCAGTCGCCGTGTACTCGGATCTTGTCAGCTTTGGGAAGATTCGTCAGGGCACGGGGGGAGAGAATTATGCCAAAGCCGTGGTTGCTCTCAAGCAAGCGAAGTCCTCAGCCCTCCAAGGCAAGCCCCTGGAACAACAGAGCCAATCCCTCCGCGATCAGGTCTCTGCCGCCCAAGGCAAAATCAAGAAGTTCTCCGAGCAGATCAAGTGCTACGTCGACGAGGTGTACAGCCTGGCCGACAAAGTCGTCGCCATGGAGTCGGACAAGGTCGCCGCCACCGCCGAGCTGGAGCAGCTGGAGGGCCAGCTGGCAGTCGCCATCCGCGCCGTGGCGCAGCTGGCGCCGGCCACAACCTCCACCTTCTTCCCGCAGGTCGCTAAGTTCATGGGGGAATTCGAGCACGGGCCAGTCGTGGGTGTTCCTCCTCAGATCCAGGAACAAATCCAGGCCCTGGAGAAGTCCCTCACAGTAGCCTACCAGCAGCAGCAGCAGCAGCAGCCGCAGCAGCAGCAGCAGCAGCAGCAGCAGCAGCAGCCCCAGGAAGAAGCAGCTTGCGCAGTCGTTGGCGCGGGTAAGTTTCCCATCTCAGGAGAGAATGTTCTTGTTCCAGTCGGAGACGCTCCCGCCGCCCCCCCAGCCTCAGCAGCCACCACAGGGGCCCCAACAGCAGCAGAGCCCACAGCCTCAGCAGCCACCGCAGGGGCCCCAGCAGTCAAAGAGCCTCAGCCAGCAGAGGGTATGGATCAAAACCAGACCTACAAGCGGGGCCAAACGGAAAGTGCAGCTGCCCTGGAGAGAGCAAGCCGCGTCGTTACCAGCGCAGGGGATCAAGGGGACCAAGCAGCCAAGAAGCTCAAGCAAGCAGCCGACGCCGCAGCAGCAGTGGGCAAATATCGGTCTAACCTTTAGCCATACTATGCAAATAGTTACTCTGAATGGCAGTTGTTGGGAAGCTGTCAAAAGTTTTGGTTCGTCGTCATTATCTAAGAATGTCATTGCGACATGCTGTCAGGAGACTCGTATCTCAGGGGATCGCATCTTAGATGCCAAGCAGCGGTGCCAAAAAGAGGGGTGGCACGCTGTTATCTCACCTAGTTTCACAAGTGAAACCAATCGGCCAATGTCGGGCACCGCCATTCTCGCCAGGGCTGGCCTCGACGCGGGCGTTCGACCCGCAGTGCTCCCACCTTCTGCTTCTCCCAGCAGGATTTCAGCAGTTATTCTCGAACTCCCAGGACACTCCCCCCTTCATCTTGCTCTCCTACCTCGAGGACTCAGTAGGCATCAGTCAGAGCAATCGCGAATCGTTGGCAGCCATCGGGTGGATGCAGAGCCACCACGGCATGCCAGTATTTGCAGCAGGCGATTTAAACACGCCGCCGTCAGCCACCAAGAAGACGAGCCTGATAGAGCGAGGAGGATTTCAGTTGCTCCACTCGCCTGGGCCCACACTATTCACCAAGAGAAGCAGGTCTAAGCTGGACTACTTCGTCGCCAGCAGAGTCTTGGGGGAATCTGTCAGCAGCGCCCAGGTCCTGGTTAACTACCCGCTCTCGCCCCGCAGGCCCGTCGTCGCGCAGTTCGTGATGGGCAAGAACCACCTCATTCCCAGGTTGGCCAAGCCCCAGAAGATCCCCACCAAGCGCCCCCACGGCCCCTCCAAGGGGCCCAAGGGGTGGAACAGAGCAGCCGCAGCAGCGCAGCAGCTTCAGCAGATCATTCAGGAGCCAGGAGTAGCAGAACAACAGAGGATCCACGCCTTGGGCGCCGCCCTCGATACATTCGCCCTGGACCTCGAAGATTCGCTCGCCCAGCAAACAGACACACCGCCCAGGAGCCGAGGACAGATTTGCCAGCCGCCCAGGATCGTTCGGGTCTCAGCCAGAGCAGAAGAGTCCAAGCATCGCGCTGGATGGCAGTCATATGCCAGGCCGCTCAGGTGGCTAAATAATCGTGTCATTGACGTGCAGCGAAGCTTATGCATACGAGTTTCGGCAGGCCTGCGAGACGCACAGTCTGCCTTGCAGGATGCGCCGCATGAGTTTCAGTCAGTGCAGGGGCTGGAGGCACAATTCGCCAAGTTCAGCCGCTTTCTCGACGCCCTCTTGCAGGGCGTCAGGCGGGGGGGCATCGGGGCGTCCAGCCAACGTGCCTCCCACATCTTCTCTGAGTTCCAAGAGGAGATCACCAACTTCCACGACCAGGAACGCTCCCGGGAAAGACTTCAAGCAACCGCTTCCTGGAAGCAGTGGGTCACAGAACAGGTGGCCAAATGAGTTGGGTGGGCCCATAGATGGTCCAAAGACAATGCCACGTGGCAGCCCCCAGAAGTGAAGGCCAAAGATGGCTGCTGGTCAGGGCGGCCAAGTAAGCTCCTCGGGGGCGAGGCCGAACGACTCTCCGACCTCTGTGGCATCCAGGACACGCCTCTCCCCATAATCCCAGGGAGTCCAGAAGCTGCGGCCAGATTGTCGATCAGGGCGCCTGCCTTTCTCAGGAGGGCCATCATGACTTTCAGCCATCCGACATGCCAGACCTGGGACGGAGTGCACCCCAAGCATTTCGAGTTGCTGACAGACAAGCAGCTGCAGGTTTTTATCGACTTGCTGGCGTGCATCGAGCAGCTTGGCATGATGCCCTCCCAGATTCTGGCTATCATTACTAATCCCACCCCTAAGCTGAAGGCCACTGGCGGGCCATCGTACAGGGGCATCGGTCTCCTCC